CCCCCCCCCCCGGCCCCTAGCGCCTACCCAGAATGCTCTGCTCAGGGCCCCGGATGTGTTGTATCCGGTCGTCGATCTTGGGAGTCTGAGGGACGTGAGGCTTTTCCTGACGGAAGCAGGTTGAGGTTGCCAGAGGGAGAAGTCCCAGGCCCTGGCTGGCGCTAAGGTGAGGATTCCAAGAAAGAACTGAGGGGAGCTCTCACCGCAGAGAGGGTGCCCAAGCCCCCACCCGCCATTTGTTGTCTGCCCGGAAGACCCCTCGCAGGGCCTCGGGTGTGGTGTATCAGGACGTCCATCTTAGGAGTCTGGGGGACTTGAGGCTTTCTCTGACGGGAGCGGACTCCGGTCGTCAGAGGGACGTGTCCTAAGCTCTGGCAGGCATTAAGGTGAGGACCCAGTTTAAGGACTGAGGGGCTCAATCACGCCTCACCCCTCCCTTGCCCATTGTCTGCCTTAAAAGCCCCACGCAGAGCCCCCGATGTGGTGTGTCCGGACCTCCATCTTGGGAGTCTGAAGGCATGAGGTTTTTGAGGGGTGTGAACTCAAGCCGTCAGAGGGAGGAGTCCTAGGCTCAGCTGGGCCGTAAGATGAAGACCTTTGTGGGGGGCTAAGGGGACCTACCCCCAGGCGGAAAGCACACAGATACCCTTCCCTGTTGTCAGCCCTGGGAGGCTCAGGGCAGGGCCTTTAGGCAAGGTGTCTCCCCCAGTTGTCTGTGCTTCTTTGTGGGTGGTTCCCGGGAGATGGGTGCCTTGGCCTGAGGGTCTCATTCCCCTGTGTGCAGAAGGGAGAAAGGGTGCAGGCCTTGTCAGGAATAAATACGAAGTCCTGGGGCGCCTGGGTGGCTCAGTCGTTGAGCATCTGCCTTCGGCTCAGGTTATGGTCCCAGGGTCCTGGGATCGAGTCCCACATGAAGCTCCCTGCTCAGTGGGGTGTCTGCTTCTCCCTCTCTCACCCCCCCGCTTGTGTTCCCTGTCTTGCCGTCTCTTTCTGTCAAATAAAGTCTTTGATAAATAAATAAGTTAATTAAATACATACATACATACATACATACAAAGTCCTTGGGAAGGACTGTGAGTATGCCTCACCACAGAACCTAGAGGAACCTCCACAGAAGTTTATCCTGATCCCTTCTGTCAGCTCTGGGGACCCCAGAAGATACAGTCAGGCCGAACTTTCTTCTGTTTCCAAATTGGGGGTCTCGGAGAGGTGAGGGCCTTGGCCTAAAGGACCCCAGTATGTGGTGATCACAGAGAGGAGTTTCAGGCCCTGCCAGGTATAAAGGTGAGGATCTTAAGGTAAGGCTGAGAGGATGGAGAGGGCCCCACAGGAACTTGTCCTTTCTCTCAGCTGTGAGAGGTCCCAGGCAGGGCTGTCAGATACCGATGTCCCCTCCACCACCCTCCTCCCTTCCTTACCTGGTATCTTTGGGAGGTGGGGGCCTTTTCTGTCAGAGCGGACAGAGTCGAGTTTCTCACATGATTCGTGTCTCCCCCAGGCCAGTTGGTTGCCATCCCCCACCTCCTGCCCACACTCCTGCCTGCTGGCCCAACACAAGTCGTCATGTCTCTCAGCAAGAAGAGTCATTGCCACAAGCCTGAAGGAGACCTTAAGGCCCAAACAGGAGATCAGGGCCTGGTGGGTGCACAGGTTCCTGTAACTGAAAAGGAAACTGCTGCCTCCTCCCTCTCTCCTTTGATCCAGGGCACCGCAGAGGTGGTGCCTGCTGCTAGAAAACCAAGCGTTCACCAGAATTCTCAGAAAGCCGACTCCTCCTTCACCACCGTCAAAGCCACTCCGTTGAGCAAACCAAAGGAGGGCTCCAGCCGCCCAAAACAGGGTCCGAGCACCTCCCAGGCTCCCCCAGATCCTGAGTCCTTGCTCAGTGATGCGCTAAACCAGAAGGTGGCTGAATTGGTACAGCTCCTGAGTGCCAAGTATGTAACAAAGGAGCTTATCACAGAGGCAGAAATGCTGCAGAGTGTCATCAAAGAGCACGAGGGCCACTTCCCTGCGATCTTCGGGAAAGCCTGTGAGTGCATGGAGCTTGTCTTTGGCATTGAAGTGAAGGAAGTAGACCCCATCAACCACTCCTATGTGCTTGTCAAAATCCTAAATCTCACCTACGACGGGATGCTGAGTGAGGACCAGGGCATGCCCAAGACCGGCCTCCTGATCCTTATCCTGGGTGTGATCTTTGTGGAGGGCAGCCGTGCCCCTGAGAAGAGGGTCTGGGAGGTGCTGAACAAGATCGGAGTGTGTGCTGGGAGGGAGGATTTCGTCTACGGGGAGCCCAGGAAGCTCATCACCAAAGATTTCGTGCAGGAAAAGTACCTGGAGTACCGGCAGGTGCCTAACAGTGATCCTCCGTGCTACGAGTTCCTGTGGGGTCCCAGGGCCCACGCTGAAACCAGCAAGATGAAAGTCCTGCAGTTTTTGGCCAAGGTCAATGGCACCAACCCCGCTTCCTTCTCATCCTGGTATGAGGAAGCTCTGAGAGACGAAAAAGCGCGAGCCCAGCCCAGAGTTGCCACCACCAGCGGTCCTAGGGCCACGGCCAGCGAAGGTTCCAGTGTCCCATCTAGCAGCTTCTCCTGCCCTGAGTGATGTCTGAAGAAGATCCTCCACTCTGTGTTTGAAGAGGGCAATCAAGGCTCTAAATAGTGGAGGACTGAATTGCAGATTTTATCTTTTCGGTATTTTTCAAACGTTCTCCTTTCTAAAAGGTTTTTTAGCTTCAGAGTCTAGGCTCACAAATGATACTGGCTACATGTTTATTGCTGTTTATCGGGTTTAAGAATAAGAATTTGGCTCTTCTGGAAAACCTATTGGGAAACTTTTATTTTCTCACTCTGGAAGAGGCTAGCATAGCATTGACAGCGAAATTTCCTTAGAAATACGGAAGAGCCCAGCAGTAAGAGAGATGGGATCAAGAAATAGAGGGGGAAACGTAAAGGATGGTTATCCTAGGATTCCTGTATCCCAGTTAGTCTGTTGGGTAGTAAAATTAAAGCTCTGTACTTGGATTTGTTTGGCTAAGGAATGCATGAGAAATTAAATCTTAATAAATGAAAGCCTTGGCTCACTGGCTCATTTATTCTTACAAGTGTTTTACAGGTGAGAGAAAAGTCTAGAATGGAAAACTGCTCTTAGCAGTTCCTTTGGGATTGTGGGTAAACCAGAGAGAAATCTCCACCTGTGGCAGGGATGGAAGGTGCCACTGAGCCCAGTGGACAAACCACACATTCTATATGCGTTCCCTACAGGATTTCCGGAGAATAGGGGGATATTTCTTTGAGGTGGTGCCCATGGGCTGGCACTTTTTCCCTGGCCTGGGAAAGCCCAGAGCCCACTCCTTTGAAAGGGCATTTTAATTATCTTGAGTGTGATTTGGCCAACTCTAAGCAAGGGCTAGACTTTTGGTGGGGGTGAGATGAGTGAAAATAGTGGTTTGGATGGAAGAGCAGCTGGGAGGGAGGAACAGAGTTAGTCTAGAGCAGCTGGGAGGGAGGAATAGAGTTAGTCCTTGATTCAAATTCTAGGAGCTTTGAGTTGCATTCAGCCGGGGAAGACTTCCCCATATCCAAATTAAGTAATATATCCATGAACGGGGACATCTTGTAGAGTATCTGCAAAGCAGCATCTTTGGCTCGCTTCGTGGTTTGTGTCCTGGAGTGCTGCATATTCTCCAAGATGCCATGGAACACACACACACACACACACACAGGAACACACACACACACACAGGAACACACACACACACACACACATAGTCAATCCCAGAGGAGAGAGTGATAGAGTCAAGTCTGGGGTCAAGATCATGTTAATTACTGCTATTTATTAAAGATCCAGTAAATGCCAGGCACTGTGCCAGGCACTTATATTACATTCTAGAAGTTCTACAAGACAGGGCTTATCAAACCCACTTCACAGGTGAAGAACCTAAGGCTCATAGCACTTGGCAGTTTGCAGTTTGCCCAAGATCACATGTCCAGTATGTGACAGGGCTGGGACTAAATCCCTGGTCCAAATTTGTCTAAGCCCAGGCTGTTCCCACTCCTCCCACCCTGAGGCTGACCTTTTGCCTCTTTGCTCATTTCTCTTCTCCATGCTCTATAAGGTCTTTCAGGCAACAAAAAGACGGGTCCTATGGCCAAAGTAGGCCCAAAGAAGGAAGGGAACAATGACAATCAGACAAGATTTGGGGACTATCTGCGCTTTATTTCCCTAGGGTCTGCCTGCCTGAGCCCCAGAGCTCCTGGAGAGCTGACTGCCCAGGCGCTGCTCTGTATGTGTCCAGTCCCAGCACTTCCCTGCGTGACGGCACCCTTGCCCGGGTCTTCCTCTGCTTTCCTGTCCAACTCTAGAATCTGGCCTGCTGACCAACTTGCCACTTCCTCTTCCTTTGCAGACTTGTGCTCCCAGTGGAACAGCTGCAGTCACCCATCCTCCCCCTGTCATGGAGCATCCCTACTCTTTACAGGAAGGATGTCCCCCTGACTGTCCCTCCCTCTTTCTGGAACCCTGTTACCAACAGCCTTTTAGCAGTAGAAGTGCACTTTGGAGGATGGTTAGATGCCTGAACACCCCCTCCTGACATCCTCAACACACTCTCAAATTGTTTTTCAAATGAGCTGGTGAGTAGAGTCTGATTTGCACATAATCTGCTGGTTCTCAGGATGTAACCCTGATGTTAGAGAGGGTTTTTGAAACCACACTAATATTTGCAGTAAGAGTCTAACAAGATGTATTATTTGAAACGGGCCACTGATCACATCAGCAGATGAGCAAGCTCACCTAGATGGCCAAAAACCAGAACATTTCTGCTAAGTGGTAGATGAGGAAACAGCACAGAAACCACCGTGTAAGCAGACAGCTACAGGGGCTGAATGTAAAACCCTGGAGTCCTAGGAGGTGAACAATGGTTTTTTGGTGGACGTGTTGCTCTGGTTTTAAAAAAACACGTTAGCCATCCTTCCACTGCTTCTTGTACATATATCTTCCCACAGGAAAATCCTAGTTTGTAGTCTGCCTAATGGCACCTGTGCAGGTATTTGGGACTGTTCAGTCATGTGGAGGGGAGCAGAGACTCACAAGTTAAGGTTTTGATTACACACCATAAGGACGGAGAACATTCCCAGGCTACTGAGATCATAGAGGTTACTGGAAAGGGCAAGGCCTGCCAACACTGACAGGGTCACTTGAAAACTAGATGTGATCCTGTATTTGAGAACACCTGTCGCATAGCAGGCACTCGAAAGAGTTGGTGAATTTCAAGGCAAATTTGGTTTTCTCAGGAACTTCTCCATGAAAGGAGTTGTCATCATACCAAATTCTAGTAATTGCTTTTCATTTTTATCTAGTAGATGGTGGCTTCTAGGAGAGACTACAAGTGCTCATCCACATCTGTCTCTCTCTCCTTCCTGGGTGGCCCACCTGTAGTTAGGAGCCAGTATGCCATTTCCATCCTTTCTCTGCTGTTCAGCTGCAAACATGGGGACCCCGTGTCAAGATGGAGAGCTACAGCATGGAAACAGCCCGGATCCCTGAATTACCTGAGCGCAGAAAGGCCCTGCCAACCCACATCGGAATTGATGTGCACAAAAAATAAACCTTCATTGTACAAAACGATTTATTTATCTTTTTATTTGTTTTTGTACAAAACCATTTAAATTTCAGGACTTCTCTGTTGCATAAGCTAACACTTGTTTTGACTAATTGATGCCCAGCACTTGTTTCTGTGGTTAAGCAGATTTAAATATTTTAATTACAAAGGTGATTGTGCAAATGTACTTCTTGCAAACCATTTACTCTTGGCATCCTTTGTCCAACTCTGAGCTTACACCCACTGATACCCAGAAACTTAGGTCCTCTAACTTAGTGTGTCTGTTTTAAGCAGCTGGAAGCTCTGCAGTAACTAGTTTCTCATCACAAACAGAACAAGGGGCTGGAGGTCCCTAGTAATGGGAAGCAGAGATTCCATAATGCATCTTATACCTCGCTGGTAGACAGTGATTGTCAAAATTTTAGATATGGGACATCACACTCCAGCTGAAGCCTTCAAAAGAAATCAGTCCATAAACATGAGGAAGGCAGAGCAGTCTGACCGAAGTGAGGACTATAATCCCCGAGTCCTGCCCACTCAGCACTCTTCCCTCTTCCTTGGGGACAGCGGCCCTGTCACCCAACCACAGAACTCTGGGTTCCCTCTGAGCACTGTGGGGAAAGCCCTGTGCTAGAAGCCCTTTCTTGGGTCGTGGACTGTCACGCCCCTCACAGGCATGAATCTGTGTGGACTCCATTCGGCCCAATGCACTGAATCCCAGTTTTGCTGCCTGGCTCTCCAGCATCGTCAACAACTCGTGAGCCCCAATTTCTGTGTCTCCAGCCTAACTTACCACCCCATTTCTCGTTCCCAACTCCTCACTGTCCCACCCCTGACCTAGACACACACTGGCACACGCTGTCCGACCCACTCATCCAGTCTCGATTTTCAGCATGGGACCGGCTGCCTTCCCTGTAACCCACTATCCCCCGTAGGATTCTGTTACGATTTTTCACAGGCTCTTCCTTCCTGCTGATGCCAATCCTTGTCTCTTTCTTTCTTCCTTCCTTCCTTCCTTCCTTCCTTCCTTCCTTCCTTCCTAGCTTTGCTTCGAACTCTATTCTGCAAAGAGGCCCCTGCTAAGTGCATTTTCCTGGTTGCTTCTCAGCACCAAATAACATGGAGGGCCTCCCCTGACTTGGCAGCCATGTTTCACTACAAAGGCAGAACCCTTTCAAGTACCCTAATGCCACGCAAATGATGAGGATTTCCACTCAAATGATGAGGATTTCCACTCTAATGGGGGCAGGAATTATTCCCTGCCCCGTGTGAGTTCCAGAGTTCTCTTTCTGTGCAGGAATCTCCTCTTAATATTCTGTCCTGCAAATTTTAGCTACCTTGGCCTTCCTGGACTCCCAGCTTCATGTCAACTCAAGGAGACTGTCCAGGCTTCCCCCTCTGTGCACTGTGGCATGCATTACCTCCCCAGGCAAATAAACTAGGGTATCATAGAACCGACATCATTTGTTTTCCATTTCATAGAGATCGCTGTCCTTCGTGACCTGATGTCCAATAAATTGAAAATTGTTTTGTATGTTTCATCTGGATTTTTAGGTATATCATGTCAGAGTTTGGTTCCTGTTACTTCATTGTGGCTAGAAGTCCTATAATCTGAATTTAAAATCTAAATTACCTAGGCATGATAAATGCCCCAAAATTTCAGTCTTATTCAAATTAAAATCAGAACTGAAAGGCTGTGGACACATTTATGTTAACACAGACATACTAATTTGCAACCAGGAGAATATACAGCAAAGTACCAACAGTGTTTTCCTCTACTAGTGGAAGTATAAGTGATCCCTTCATTTTCTTATGTATGGTTTTAAAAATTTCCAACATTTATGAAACACACAAATTACCTTTATAATTATAAAATGTAAGTATTTCAAAATGTGATTTTGACTACCAAAAATTAATACACATTCTTTAGATGGTTTGTTTACAAAATTGATCAATCTCTCGCCAGATTCTACCCACCTCTGGCATGCCTACTTCCTGTTTG